AAAAAAAAAAAAAAAAAAAAATTAAGGGTTCTGGGTGCGGTGACTCACGCCTGTAATCCCAGCACTTTGGGAGGCTGAGGAGGGCGGATCACAAGGTCAGGAGATCGAGACCATCCTGGCCAACATGGTCAAACTCTGTCTCTGCTAAAAATACAGAAAAATTTAGCCGGGCATGGTGGTGCATGCCTGTAATCCCAGCTACTGGGGAGGCTGAGGCAGGAGAATCGCTTGAATCCGGGAGGCAGAGGTTGCAGTAAGCCAAGATCACACCATCGCACTCCAGCCTGAGTGACAGAGTGACACTCTGTCTCAGAAAAAAAAAGATTTAAGGGGTCATCTGGGGTCCCAGAGCTCCCAAGGGTAGCTGGAGAGGCCCACTGTGGCCCAAGGACTTTGTGACAACTCAAAACCCGCCTCCCACTTTATACTTTTAGGGACAAATCCAAGGAGCAGAAAGTGAGCAGTGTTCTGGTTTCCATGCAGCCCCGTCTGGAAAGACCCCCTACGGAGGCATCGCCCCCAGGCAGGCCTGGAGGTGGGGGAGGAGGGGGAAGGTCAGGGTCTTCCCGGTGTTTACCAGCCCCCTGGAGTCTCCTGCCCAACTGTCACCTTGAAGCGACACCAGCTAGGCCCGGCTCCCCTCCCCTGCTTCTGCTGTTTCCATGGGGACAGATGTCCTTTCTGCAGATCAAGCCACTGCAGCCCGGAGGAGGGAGCGGGGCTGGCCCGAGAGCCTGGCCCCCCTCAGTCTCTCAATCTTTGCATCTGCTGGTTTCTACTGTGCGGTTTTTATCTGCCCTACCTCGCTCTGTCTCTTATTCTCTGTGTTCTGGTCCCTCCCTATGGGAGATTCAGGCTCCAGCCCCAACTCTGTCCCCAAAACAAAGAGCTGGGGATGTCCTTGGCCCTCGAGGATTTCTTTCTTTTTTATTTCTATTTATTTATTTTTTTTAGAGACAGGGTTTCTCCACGTTGGTCAGGCTGGTCTGACCTCAGGTAATCTGCCCGCCTCGGCTTCCCAAAGTGCTGGGGTTACAGGTGTGAGCCACCACGCCCGGCCTGAGGATTTCTGTGTTTTTTTTTTTTTTTTTTTTTTTTTTTTTTGAGATGATGACTTGCTCTGTCCCCAAGGCTGGAGTGCAGTGGCGCAATCTTGGTGCATTACAACCTCTGCCTCCCAGGTTCAAGAGATTCTCCTGCCTCAGCCTCCCGAGAAGCTGGGACAACAGGCGCCTGCCACCACACCTGGCTAATTTTTTGTATTTTAGTAAAGACGGGGGTTTCACCATGGTGCCCAGGCTGGTCTCGAACTCCTGGACATAGGCAATCCGCCCACCTCGGCCTCCCAAAGTGCTGGGATTACAGACCCATCCGGTCTGGCCTATTTTTTTTTTTTTTCTTTTTTGAGAGGGAGTTTTGCTCTTGTTGCGGAGGCTGGAGTGCAATGGCACCATCTCGGCTCACTGCAACCTACACCTCCTGGGTGCAACCGAGTCTCCTGCCTCAGCTTCTGGAGTAGCTGGGATGACAAGCCTGCACCACCATGCACACCTAATTTTCTATTTTTAGTAGAGACAGGGTTTCTCCATGTTGGTCAGGCTGGTCTCAAACTCCCGACCTCAAGTGATCCGCCCAACTCAGCCTCCCAAGGTGCTGGGATTACAGGTGTGAGCCGCCACGCCTGGCCTCGTCCAGCGTTTCCATTACCCCATCGTTCCCCTCTCCAGGACCCTCAGGGCTCTCCTGCTGGGAGTCAGCGATCCCTTCTTCCCTCTGCAGCACAGAAAGGACACTAAGACAAACAATAACTTATTTATTTTCTAGGCCAGGGGAGGGCTTTGGGATACAATTCTGGGCCCGAGGACTCAAAAGGGGGCCGAGGGTCGCTGTCAGGGGGTCTGCGTGACCACGGGGTACAGAAGAGCCAGATGTTCGGCTCCCTGCACGGGCAGGGGGCGGGAACTGTAGTGGAGGACCAGCTCAGGCACGCTGGGGAAGGGCCCGCTGTGTTGGCCCAGCACCACCTGGTTCTCTCGGGTCCGTGAGAACTTCAGATGCAGGAACCCCTGGCTGCTCCTGGGGGATGAGGGAGAAGGGGCCTCCTGAGCACCCCAGACCCACCCAGAAAGTGACTATCCCCAAATCCACCTCCCACAGTGCCCAGGGCCTGGTGCTCCTGTATCCCCCAAATCCGGTAAACAGCAGTGTGGTGGCTGGTGTAGTTGCTCACATCTGTAATCCCAGTGATTTGGGAGGCCGAGGCTGTAGGATCGCTCCTCCAGGCCAGGAGTTTGAAACCAGCCTGGGAAACAGAGTGAGACCCCGTCTCCACAGGAAAACATTTAAAAATTAGGCACATGCAGTGGCTCACGGCTGTAATCCCAGCACTTTGTGGGTTGGGGGGCTGAGGCAGGCGGATCACTTGAAGTCAGGAGTTTGAGGCCAGCCTGGCCAACATGGTGAACTGTCATCTTTACTAAAATATAAAAATTAGGCTGGGCGCAGTGGCTCACGCCTATAATCCCAGCACTTTGGGAGGCCGAGGCGGGTGGATCACGAGGTCAGGATATCAAGATCATCCTGGCCAACATGGCGAAATCCCATCTCTACTAAAATACAAAAAATTAGCCGGGCACGGTGGCATGTGCCTGTAGTCCCTGTGGGCTGCGGCAGGAGAATTGCTTGAAACTGGGTGTCGGAGGTTGCAGTGAGCTGAGATGGCGCCACTGCAGTCCAGCTAGGTGACAGAGCGAGACTCCATCCCAAAAACAAAACAAAACAAAACAAAATTAGCTGGGCGTGGTAGTATGCGCTTGTAATCCCAGCACTTTGGGAGGCTGAGGAACGTGGATCACCTGAGGTTAGGAGCTCAAGACCAGCCTGACCAACATGGTGAAACCCCGTCCCCACTAACAATACAAAAATTAGCTGGGCATGGTGGTGGGCGCCTACAGTCCCAGGTACTTGGGAGGCTGAGACATGAGAATCTCTTGAACCTGGGAGGCGAAGGCTGCAGTGAGCCGATATTGTGCCATTGAACCCCACCTGGGTGACAGAGCGAGACTCTGTCTCAAAAAAAAAAAAAAAGAAGTAATAATAAGAGGCCAGGTCTGGCGACCCCTACCTGCCTATAATTCCAGCACTTTGGGAGGCCAAGTCAGGCGGATCTTTTGAGACCAAGAGTTTGAGACCAGCCTGGCCAACATGACAAAACCCTGTCTCTACTAAAGATACAAAGATGAGCCAGGTGCGGTGGGGTGTGCCTATAGTCCTTCATCGCCCAGGTTCAAGCAATTCTCCTGCCTCAGCCTCCAAAGTAGCAGGGATTACATGTAGGCACTACGCCTAATTTTTGTATTTTTAGGAGAGAAGGGGTTTCACCATGCTGGCGAGGCTGGTCTCGAACTCCCGACCTGAAGTGATCCGCCCACCTCGGCTTCCCAAAGTGCTGGGATTACAGGTGGGAGACACTGTGCTCCGATCCTATCTTGTGCTCTTAGATCTTGCCCTCAGACACCTGGCAGAATCTTAGGAGTGGTTTATAATTAGAATTTTAGGGATGAAAGTACAAACAAACAGGGTCTCGACCTAAAATGCTTACAGGTACACCCTGAAATTCTGGTTTCGGGTGGACACAATTGATATACCTCCATTTCTGGACTAGGAGAGTCCAAAGGAGTCTTGCACACCTAGTTCCTCATCTTACCCAAGTTCTGGACCTCCTCTATGGCTTCCACTCTGTCTTCATGTATACCTCCAGTGATGGGGGGCTCATTCTCACCAGCTAATGGCCTCCCTGGAAGCTCCACCCTTGCTCCTAGAAGTCCCGCCCTCTGGCCTGGAAGCCCTTCCCATTGGCTGCTGGAGCCACACCTTCCCACTCCCTCTGAATTAACCCAAAAGAGTGACGCATGCAGTCCAGTGACCCTTTGTCCCTGTGAGGCTGAGGTCTCACCTGAGAGACAAGGAGCAGTCCTGGGGGCTGGTCTCACTGAGCCGGACTAGGTAGCTGCCTTCCTTGCAGAGGGACAGGAGGTTCTCCGCATCCGCCCTATTCAGGGGGCCGTGGAACCACCTAGCGGTGCCAACAGGTATCTCATCAAAGGCTGTTGCCCTTCAAACACACGGTGGCTCTCGCCTACTGTAATCCCAGCACTTTGGGAGGCAGAAGCGGGAGGATCACCTGAGGTCAAGACCAGTCTCGCCAACATGGTGAAACCCTGTCTCTTCTCAAAATACAAAAAAATTAGCTGGGCAGGGTGGCGCGCGCCTGTAATCCCAGCTACTCAGGAGGCTGAGGCAGGAGAATTGCTTGAACCCAGGAGGCGGAGGCTGCGGTGAGCCGAGATCGTGCCACTGCATTACAGCCTGGGCGACAGAGTGAGACTCCCAATTCAAAAACAAAAAACAAAACAAACACACTCTGGGGTCTGCTGGGTCCATGCACAGCTGATGCATGGGCTTGTAACATCTGGGCAAATGAAGAAGGAAAATTCCCTTGGATTTTTCAAGAGGAGCCTGGTTATTGGCTGCACCTGACATGGATCTTCACAGCCTCCTTGGCAAGTTCAATCACTTTCACAAGAGCAGTGCTACATCTTATATCTCACCCACCTGTCCCCTTCTTTTCTTTTCTTTTTTTTTTTGAGATGGAGTCTCACTGTGTCACTCAGGCTGGAGTGCAGTGGCACCATTTGGGCTCACTGCAACCTCTGTCACCCAGATTCAAGTGATTCTCATGCCTCAGCCTCCCTAGGCCTCAGAGTTAGCCAGTTCTGCACTGCCCACTGAAGAGCTTTAGGGGTGACTGTGATAACATGACCTGGATTCTGGGGACTTGGGCACTCCCTCCGGGAGCTCCCAGGCTGAAAGGACACAGAGTCAGCGTCTCCCAGCTCATGTGCCGCCCCACAGCACGGAGTTGTGAGCCCACCAAACTCCTACGCCTCCCAGTTCCATCCTAAGAACTTCTGGCTGACAATGATTTCTGTCTCTTGGCTCTGAGGCTGTAAGCTCCACCCAAGTTAAGGAAGGAAATTCCCTTTTCTGTTTGAACCTGAGGCTCAGAGAGGTTAAGTGACTTGCCCAAGGCTACACAGCCAGGAGGGAGGAGCAGGGATTTGAACCCAGAACTTGATACCAGAGAGAAAGGGACCCCATCTGATTCTGTTTTGTGTCTAACTGAGTGTCTGGCACACAGCAGGCTCTGGTGCCCAGTAAAGATTAGTTGAAGAAATAAGTGGATGAATGAACTCAAGTTCCCCCAGTTCCTCTAATCTGGAGAAAACACTTCCACTTGATACACTGGAGTCTACAGCTACGTTCAACGGGGCTCTTCCACCTTCAGTGCCCCACTCACGGCTGTTTCTCCAGGGGCAGGGCTGGGTCCACTCGCTCCGCAGGCTGGGGGCTTCTGGGTGGGGGTCTCCGGAGCTCCTTGGCTGGGCCTGGAGTCCTTTCCCACTCTGGACTGTCAAACTGCACTGCAAGGGATATTTAGAGAGGAAAGAATCAAGTCCAGCCTCCCCTGGAGGGCGGGGCAGGGGCCAGCCAATGGACTATCAGTAGGAAGGCGGGGCCAGATTAGGCAACCTATCAGAGCCCAGGGGCTGGGCTTAAGGTAGGGGCAGGATTGGCCACAGCTGCAACCTATTGGCCTTCAGAAGAAACAGGTGTAGTCATTCATAAATCTGGGAGCAACAAGCACAGGGGGCGTGGCTAGAGGGGGTGGGTTCGAAGTTTCCAGCTAGGGGAACTAAATGCCTAAATCTAGTCCTTAAATCTCTTCTGGGGTTCAGCCTAGACTGAGGACAAGTCCTAAAACTAGAAAATCACCCCCAATCTACAGATAGGGGGACAAAGGCACTGAGCTCCGAATAGCCTCCCAGTCATAAAACTTTGGGGGCAAAGCCGTGTTTGCACAGCTCTTCCTGGTCCAAATTAGTTTATTTTTTAAAGCTGATTTTATAATTATCCCTTTTACAGAAAAGAAAACTAAGGCTCAGAGGCTTGTCCAAGCTCATCCGATTCAGCTAGAAACCGACCTGTGGTTCACTACTAAGAAATGCTGGTCCGGAGTGATCCCAGCACTTTGGGAGGCCGAGGCAGGTGGATCACCTGAGGTCAGGAGTGGGAGACCAGCCTGGCCAATACAGTGAAACTCCGTCTCTCCTAAAAATACAAAATTTAGTCAGGCTTGGTGGCGGGAGCCTGTGATCCCACCTACTCAGGAGGCTGAGGCAGGAGAACCACTTGAACCTGGAAGGTGGAGGTTGCAGGGAGCCGGGATCGTGCCACTGCACACCAGCCTGGGAGACAGAGTGAGACTCTGTCTTAGAAAACAAAAGAGAAGAAAATTCTACCCCCACCACCCCCCACACCCTATTCCAAAAGCAAACCACGTTCCCCTTCCTGCACCACACTCAGCAAGATAAGTAGGTTCTATTCCACTCTAAAAAGTGTTTGCATTTCCAAGGAAGATGCAAGTTGTCTTGGAAGAAAGAATTTAGGACTATCAGTCATTCACACTCTAGTGAGAATTAACAAACTACCAAAGTGGCAAGTGACTGGACTCTACTTAGTACATGGAAACAGGAGACATGACCAGATGAGGAAATGCAGGGATGGGGCACTCAGATGTCAGGGTGTGGGTCTGAGAAGCACCTGCAAACGCCCTGGAGATGTGGTCTTTCTTCCACTCCCAGGGCTGGTCATACTCATCTGCTGGCCGTTCGTCCTCCTGGGGCATCCGGCTCTGCCGAGGCTTCTGCCCAGAAGGGGGCTCCTCTGCTGTCTCTCGGTCCTGTTCCTCATAAGGGGTGTCATAGAGCTGCACCCCTCTGCCAGGCAGTTCTAGGACGCCGGGGACACTGGTCAGTTCCTGCTCCCATCTGGGACCCTGCCACCTTCCCCCAAGCCCTGCCTACTCACCACTCATAACCCGCTGGGCATCATAGGGCTCCATGTACCCATCATCTGGGGGTGCAGGATGAGGCTGGGCATCAAAGGGGTCTGAGTACTCTGTGTCAGCTTCCAGCTGCAGAGGGAAGGAAGGAGGAGGGGACAAGAACTCAAAAGGGGCACCCCCACCAAGTGATGCTGCAGCTCTTGCCTGCCTACAGGGCCATCTGACACCTCTCCAAGACTTTTGATTTTTATTTATTTATTCAGAGATGGAGTCTCACTCCGTTGCCCAGGCTGGAGTGCGCCCGCCACCGCACCTGGCTAATTTTTGTATTTTTGGTAGAGATGGGGTTTTGCCATGTTGCCAGGCTGGTCTTGAACTCATGAACTTAAATGATCCACCTGCCTTGGCCTCCCAAAATGCTGGGATCACAGACATTAGCCACCACACTGGCCCAAGAGTTTTTTTTTTTTGAGATGGAGTCTCGCTCTGTCGCCCAGGCTGGAGTGCAGTATTGCAGTCCTAGCTCACTGTCACCTCCACCTCTGGGTTCAAGCAATTCTCCTGCCTCAGCCTCCTGAGTAGTGGGGACTATAGGCACGGGCCACCACGCTTGGCTAATTTTTGTATTTTTAGTAGAGACAGAGTTTCACCATACTGGCTAGGCTGGTATCGAACTCCTGACCTCATGATCCGCCTATCTTGGCCTCCCAAAGCGCTGGGATTACAGGTGTGAGCCACCATGTCTGGACTTTTTTTGTGTGTGTGTGAGACAAGGTCTTGCTCTGTTGCCCAGGCAGGAGTGGAGTGGTTCAGTCATGACTCACTGCAGCCTTGACCTCCTGGGCTCAAGTGATCCTCCTGCCTCAGCCTCCGGAGTAGCTGGGACTACAAATGTGCACCACCACAACTGGCTAATGTTTTGATTTTTTTTTGGAGAGTCAAGGTCTCACTCTGTTAGCCCAGGCTGGTCTTGAACTCCTGGACTCAGGCAATCCTCCCACCTCTACCTCCCAAAGTGCTGGGATTACAGGAATGAGCTGCTGCACCTGGAAGCCTGGGTTCAAATCTTAGTAAGCTAGAACACTGTGAGACCTTGGGGAAATAACTGCTTTTCTGTGAGCCTCAGTTTCCACTTCTGCAAAATGGGAACGTAGTGGTTGGAAGGGCAGAGTCATAGGGAAGGTGTTTACGTGTCCAGGAGGGGAGGAACTCACTCAGATCTGTTTTAGGAAAGTCCCACCAGGTTCAAAGAGGAAGGGGTGCTGAGGGAGGGGACTGGGGGGGCCGAGAGGATGGCCATGGAGGAGGAGGACCCAGAGACCAAGGAGGGTGGTCGGAGAGACATGAGGACAGCCAGCATTATGTATTGAAAAGGGACAGATATCGGCCAGGTGTGGTGGCTTATGTCTGTAATTCCAGCACTTTGGGAGGCCGAGGCGGGAGGATCACCTGAGGTCAGGCGTTTCAGACCAGCCTGGCCAACATGGTGAAATCCCATCTCTACTGAAAATACAAAACTTAATAGGAAGGTTGGTAGGTGCCTGTAATCCCAGCTACTTGGGAGGCTGAGGTAGGAGAATTGGTTTGAACCCGAGAGGCAGAGGTTGCAGTGAGCTGAGATCCCACCACAGTACTCCATTCAGCCTGGGCGACAGAGGGAGACTCGACTGTGTCTCAAAAAAAAAAAAAAAGAACAGACCTCCCCAAGCAGGTGGAGGACTGGGAAGGGCCTGTCTGGTGCCCCTGTCCCCTCTGTGATCACACATAAAACAAGCTCTCCACGATCCAGGGAGCCCAACCTGAGCCTCCTCTCCACCTAGTCTCCTGGGGCCACCCAGCCACGCACCTCCTCCCCGGGGCCGCGCAGAAGGGCCTTGGCTCTGGCCATATACGCAGCCTCGACCTTGATGAGCCGGTGCTTGGGAGAGCCATACTTAGCATCTCTTGGGTTCTTGGAGTCCCCTGGGCCCGCGGGGTCCAGCTCCAAGCGGCTCTCCGCTGTCCTCATAGGGATCCTTGAAGTCCAGGCTCTTCTGCTCCGGGTAGGCCCTCAGGATGTCGCTCTCGGTGTAGTCCGGGGTGGGCGGCTGCGGAGGGGGTGGGCGGCTGCGGAGGGGGCCTCCGACCGCCACAGCTCAGGTAGTCCGATGGCCACTTGGCCATTTGGGTGCCGATCACTCCCAATCCGGCCACTGTCAGAGGGACCCACACATGCGCTTCTCCGGGCCCCTTTCCCCAGGGAGGAGGAGGAAGAGGAGGAGGAGAGGAAGAGCAGGGAAAGAGGAGAAAGGTCAGGTGCGCCCTGCGGCGGGGCTCTGGATGGATAGAGGGAAGGAAAAAGTGAAGGAGGGGGAGGAAAAGGAGGTGACGGAGGAGGGAGGAGGACAAACCCACCTTAGTCCGGTTGGGGAAGCACCGCGGGGAAAGGGGCGCCCCGCAGGGCCCTGAACGCCTCTCGCTGGGGGTCAGGGCGAGGGGCATCCGCAGAGAGGCGCGGAGTTTCCGAGGGCAGCGAGGTTCCCTGGCGCGGCTCGGCCGCCCGCCGCCTCCGCGAAGCTCGGGGACCCCTTCCTGGGTTCCGGAGATCTGGGCTAGCGCAGCCTACAGACGCTCCCGGCCCCTTGCCCAGCCTGGACGCCGGGGATCTCAGCGCAGCTGGCTGGCTCCCCAGGCGCGCGGGCGCCGCGCTCAAAGTTGGGGCGCCGAGGCGGTGACCCCCGCGGGAAGCATCCTTTGTCGCGCTCCTCTCGACTCAGCGGGGAGCGCCAATCCCGGGGCCACCAGCAGGGCCGCTTCGATCCGGCCCCAGCCACCCGCACAAAGATAAATAAGAACCTTCTACAATCCCCTTTCACGCTTTCGGAGAGTCTTTCCCCGCCGCCGCCAGTGGGCGGCCGGGAGGTGGGACGCTGGGGAGGAGGCGCGCGAGAGCAAGGCCAGGTTCCCACCAGCCGCGGGCCGCGTCCGGGGCAGCTGCGTCAAGGCTCCCCAGCCTCCCCTCCTCCGTGTCCCCCGCCTCTCCCCTCCCCCTGCGCTCCCCTCCCAAGTGACTGAGACCTTCAGCTGTTCTGGGGAGGGAGGGAGCCGCTGCCCGCCGAGGGAAGGGGGGCCGGGGGCGGCAGTATCCGGGGCCGAGGCCAAGGCAGCTGGACACTGACCCGGACGCCCGAGGCTGGTCCCAGTGAGCGCGGAGCGCCGGAGATGGGGACCCGCTGGGAGGGACACAGCTGGGGAGGGGTAGATGGAGGGCAAGGGGAAATTGACGGGGAAATGGAGGACTGGACTTGACAGCCAGAAGGGGTGACAGCCAGCAGATGGGGGTGGGAATGGTCAACATGGAATGTCGAAATGGAACCGATGTCTGGGGATGAAACTGACCAGGAGAGTGGGGGTGTGGAAATTGGTGGAGAGGTCACTGGCTGAATTGATATTGACTCAGCGAGAAGGAAGAGGGGGGCAAAGGAAGGGAGGATGGGGATCGGGCTTCCTGTCCTCCAAGAGGGCTCTGCTCTGCACCGCCCCCCTCCTAACCCACTCCGGGACTAATTGCGGGCAGGGGGAGGGTTTGGGGCAGCTGGCCTGGGGAAGGGAGATGGTATCTGTGTCTGGAGCCTGTCCTGACATCTGTCCCTTTCTGGCTTCTGGGAGGGGGGGTGAAGAGGGGCAGAAGTGAGAGGGGTCTGGCCTGTCCTGGCTGCCTGTTGTCAGCGGCCCTTGTCTGAGGGTAAGAGTGAGAGGTTTTGGGGGTGGTAGAGAAAAAGGGGGCCACTGGCCAATTTTCCAGGGCAGAACCGATTTTTTTTTACCTTCCCCTTAAGGGGGCTTGCCCAGTTCCTCCTAATGGCTGGAGTGAGAGAGGGGTGGTCAGGAAGGATGGGACCCCAGATTCTCTCGTCTTGTGGCCATCCCCATCCCCCTGGTTGGTACAGGTTATAGCTTGGAGGGGACAGTTGGAAGACAAGAAAGAAGTCAGAACCAACGCTGCTATGACTGGGCCTCCTGGCAGGACCCAGGGCTGGGGGCTGGGTCTGTCACTTGCTGAGTCTTGGTTTCCTTATTTGAAAGATGTGGTTTCTACCAGGAAAACCCAGACAGCTTGAGGAAGGATCCCAGCAGAGGGCAAGTTAACACCCAGCTTTCTCATTTTACCAATGGGGAAACTGAGGCACAGAGCCGGGAGGGACTTATTCAGAGCCAATCCACAGCTCATTCTGCCTGGACATAGCCATGGGGACTGGCCTTGGTGGCACTGGAGTCTCTCTCTCTTTTTTTTTTTGAGATGGAGTCTCGCTCTGTCATCCACGCTGGAGTGCAGCAGCCCGATCGATCTCTGCTCACTGCAACCTCTGCCTCCCAGATTCAAGCAATTCTCCTGCCTCAGCCTCCTGAGTAGCTGGGGTTACAGGCACCCACCGCCACACCGGGCTAATTTTTGTATTTTTAGTAGAGACGGGTTTTACCATGTTGGCCAGGCTGGTCTCTAACTCCTGACCTCAAATGATCCACCCACCTTCGCCTCCCAAAGTGCTGGGATTACACACATGAGCCACCGCGCCCAGCCTGGTGTCTCTTCAGGGAATCAGCTCTGCAACTCCTCTCCAAGATGAGCTCCATTTTCCAGATGGGGAAACAGACCTGGAGCCAACAAGGCAAAGCCCCTGAAGGCTGCAGACATCTAGACCCTTCTGTTCCTCCCTTCCCTGCACTGACTGTGTCCTCCAACACAAACCTGTTGAACTCCTTTCTCTTTCTGGAAGTGCATGGCCACCCCCACTTCCGCCCCACCCTATCTGATCAGTGATCATCCCTGACTAGGCATCGTACCCTTGGGGCTGCCAGGGAGCACAGCGTGTAATTGTCTTGCTTTCTGTCAGCTGCAATGCAATTCCGGGGCAGGGGGATGAGCTGTTGACAGATCTCATCAAATCCGACTCATCTCCCTGCCGGATAGAACTAGATATCTGAGGTATAAATAGTTGAAAGGGACCTTCTAATTACAGTCTGTGTTAGGAATAGTAATTAGAGGCCCTGGGACCAGAATCAAACAACGTTTGACTTTCCTGTGCATTGGAGCTGGCTTCTCATGGGGCTTCCCCTCACCTTACCCCAAGGAGGGGAGTGGGGAGAAGCTTGCAGGGAGGGGCAGAAGGAGGTAAAGGAGAAAGAGATCCAGGCTGGAGGTCCGATCACCTTGCCCTGTGACCTTAAATCAGCCGTATAAACTCGTGAGCTTGGGTTTTCTCTTTTTCTTTTCTTTTTCTTTTTTTTTGAGAAAGGTCTCACTCTATTGCCCAGGCTGGGGTGCAGCATTGCAATCATAGCTTGCTGCAGCCTCAACATCCTGGGCTCAAGAAATCCTTCCATCTCAGCCTCCTGGTAGCTAGGACTACAGGTGCACACCACCAGACCCCGGTAATTTTTTGTTTTTATAAAAACAGTGTCTCCCTATTTTGCCCAGACTGGAGTGTAGTGTTGCAATCACAGCTCACTGCAGCCTCAACATCCTGGTTTCAAGCAATCCTCCCATCTCAGCCTCCTGGTAGCTAGGACTACAGGTGCACACCATCACACCCAGCTAATTTTTTTTTATAGAGACAAGGTCTCGCTATGTTTCCTGGGCTATTCTTGAACTCCTGTCTTCAGGCGACCCTCCTGCCTCCCTAAGTGCTGGAAGTGTAATCCCAGCACTTTCCAGAGTGCTGGGATTACAGGCCTGAGCCACCGCCCCTGACTGTAAGCTTTGGATTTCTGGCCAGGAGAGGAGGGAAACCAGGGAAGGCAACCAGGAGGTGGTCATGGAGTGGGCAATAACAAGGAGGTGGGCTGGACAGCGGGACCCTCCTTCCCCAGCATTCACAGTCTGAGAGGCAGTTGATGGGGGACTCCTCCAGGGTGGATGGGGCCCAGGGAACTATCCTCCAGAGATTCTTCCGGCTTCCAGAATCCCAGGCTGTCAGATATTGGCTGATGACAAGGATGTTTTCTCACCGGGTACATGAAAGAATAAGCTCCTGTTAAGCGCTTACGGCCAGGCACTGATTTTGGTTCTTTTTGTTTTGCTTTGTTGTTTTTCGTTTGTTTTTGAGGCTGAGTCTAGCTAGCTCTGTCACCCAGGCTGGAGTGCAGAGGCACGATCTTGGCTCACTGCAACTTCTGCATCTCGGATTCACGTGATTCTCCTGCCTCAGCCTCCCTAATAGCTGGGATTACAGGTGTGTGCCACCCTGCCTGGCTAATTTTTATATTTTTAGGAGATACGGGGTTTCGCCATGTTGGCCAGGTTGGTCTTGAACTCCTGACGTTGTGATCCACCTGCATCAGCCCCGCAAAGTGCTGGGATTAGAGACTTGAGCCACCATGCCTGGCCTCGTTGCTTTTTTTTTTTTTTTTGATATATAATTCACATTGGCTGGGCACAGCGACTCATGCCTGTAATCCCAGCACTTTGGGAGGCCGAGGTGGGCAGATGACCTGAGGTCAGTAGCTCGAGACCAGTCTGGCCATCATGGTGAAATTCCATCTCTACTAAAAATACAAAAATTAACCAGGCGTGGTGGTGAGCTCCTGTAATCCCAGCTACTCCGGGGGCTGAGGCAGGAAAATCACCCGAACCCAGGAAGCGGAGGTTGCAGTGAGCTGCAATTGTGCCACTGCACTCCAGCCTGGGCAAGAGAGCCAGGCTCCTTTTCAAAGAAAACCCAAAAAACATAATTCACAGATCCCACCATTCACCCATTCACAGTGTAAAATTCAGGGTTTTCAGTGTGTCCATGAGGTTGTGCAACCATCACTGCTATCTAATTCCTGAACATTTTCCACACCCCTCAAGGAAACCTCAAATCCAATTAGTTGTCACTCTCCATCTCTCCAAATCCCCTGCTCCTGGTAACCACAAATCATTTCCTGTCTCTGTGGATGAGCCTGTCCTGGACATTCATAGGGATGGGATCACACACTGTGTGGCCTTCTGTGTCTGGCATCTTTCACTGAGCTTGATGTCCTCAAGATACATCCACACTGGGGCTTGTGTTTTTTTCTTTTGAGATGGAGTTTTCCTCTTGTTGCCCAGGCTGGAGTGCAATGGCACGATCTCGGCTTACTGCAACCTCTGCCTTCCAGGTTCAAATGAACCTGCCTCAGCCTCCCAAGCNGCCAGGTTGGTC